ACAGCTGAAGCTATGAAATGCCTCACCAAATTAAAAAATGTACTCATTGTTTTTTGTCCCGTTCTAGAAGAGAGATGCAACAAGGAGAGCGGCCCGGAATGGCACAAGATTTCTCATATTCCAAATATTGGTATGTTTTTTCTCTTCCAATTCTTAAATCAATTACGCACAATGTATTCTATTTTCTTCCCTTACTTTTTCATTAAAGTGAATCGCTTGTTATGTGGTATGTATGTTTCTGTTTTGTTTTCCTAAAACTACAATTTAATGTACATAGTAAATTTCAATCCCCAGTACAAAATTGTGACAAGATATATTTACATTATGATATGCATATGGTTAAGTACCTATTCCAATCATGTTCTCACATCTCTGTTGACTGTTTCTTCTTTGCCAACTTTAGTCAATCAGTCAGTTATTGAAATAAAGATATGATATAATTTTTTGCTCAAAAAAAAAAATTAAAAAAAATATTCGTGTATAAGTTTTGAAGTGTTCTTCATATTCATACATGTGTATTTGTAACGTTTTTCAAGGTACCGTTTGTTATAGTCCATTAGTTAGAACTATGAGCAGGTGCTGACATATTATGTTTAAATCTATAGTTTACTAAGTAATGTGAACCCCAATTCAGTAATCTTATAAAGTGTCTCTGAATGAGTTGATTGTTAAATTATTCAGCTCAAGTCAGTCACTTTTTTTCTTCCTAAACCTTGTAAGAAAAGAACTGATCTTTCTTAACATTTTTTGTGAACTCTGGCATTCACCAAAGTTGTTATTTTTTATTTGTCCCTTCAGACAGCATGTTGGGTTGGCGCTAATGGTGAGTAACGGCAATTCCCAATTGTTTGAAGTTGCATTGGACCAAATTCATGGTAAGCTTCTCTCTTTTGATTAGATTTATCCAGATGCATATTACTTAAGTCTAAAGTTGGGATTGAAACTCAAGTATTCATATTGCTTATGAAATTGGGATACGAATTTGCATTAATTACGGTTGTGCCATCGTGTGTGGAGAGATTTTTTAGTGTGTCCGGAACACGGGATGGTACATCACGTGTCACTATTCAAATAGTGTGATATTTGTGTTAAAAAATTAACAACTTAAAAATAAAAATTTTCACCACTTATATAAAAACATGTGTGTTCCAATCATAATGAAAAATTTCTCGTGTGTGTGGGCTCTGCTTCACCCAAAACAGGCGGGCTGCTGCATTTGGGCCTGGGATCAGCTCTCACGGGTGTTGGGCTGGGTTTTGCATTAATTCCTCTCATCTGTCTCTGTCTCATATCTGCAAAACAGGCGGGTTGGGCTGCTGCACTCCAGCATTTTGTTTTTCAACGGATTAATGCAATCACAAATTATTTTGTTGATTTTTTACTTACATTGTGGTTTGTGGATGAAGGTTTTCGGTGCTCCGAAAATGCCCGCCCTGATTTTTTTACACCAAGTGGAGATGGCAACCCAGACATTGTAACTGGCCCAGGTACTTCAATCTTTTCAGTTTTTGGTAATTTTCGATTGCTGTTTGGTTGCTGAGAAAGAGAGGGAAAATAAGAGAAATCATCAAAGTTGATATATACCATTTGCTTTTAGTCGCATTGATTTTTATTGTGAGAAATTATATGATTATAGTGTATAATTACCTGTGGAATTGAGTAGTATTATCTGAAGCTCTCTCACTACTCAGGTGTATCAATGGTAATAAATTGCTGAGTAGATGAACTACAAACCTCAAATTCCCTCTGTTTGTATATTTGCAGTTGCTTTTCCGTATAACTCTTCAAACCCAGGAACATCTCCGACGCCTGGACCTCGTTGGTAAAGTGGATTCTCCCCTCTTTATTGTTTGTCCCACTTAACTCATTATTTTCTTCCTTTTTTTGTTTGTGATTGTAAAATAATTTGGTGGCTTATGACCGAATCTGAAATTATTAAATTTTCCTGCTTTTGATTTTGCAGAGTAGTACCCGCCAAAAGCTTGAGGGTTCAGCTGGGAAGGTTTCTGAGTTTTGCAGAGAAGGCAATGACTGATAATCTCTCTCCTACACCAGTTTCATGAACTCAAGTACAACACCTTTTCTTCAATTCTTCAATTCTCTAAACTACTGTTCTTTTTGGAACTGAATTTTGATTAATGTGTTATTGAATTTATGGCTCTTTAAGGCCAAATTCTGATATGCATCTGGTTAAGTACCTATTCCAATAATGTCCTCACATCTCTTTTGATTGTTCTCTTCTCTGCCCATTTTAGTTAATCTGTACATATTATGTTTGAATCTGTAGATTGGAGTCCCTGTTAATCTGATTGCTACGTTATTCAACTCAAGTCAGTCATTTTCTAAGGGTACCCTTTTTTTCTTTGTAAACATTCTAAGAACAGAACTGAGCTTTTTATTCCTATCACGTTTTCTCAACTCTGACCGAAGTTGTATTTTTTTATTAGTTCCTGGGGACAGGTGATGGCTCGGAGTCAGAACGTTTCTCTATTTTTATTAGGACAAGCAATTCCCAACTGCTTGAAGTTGCATTAAATCAGATTTTGGGTAAGCTTCTCTCTTTTGATCGGAACATTTCTCCATTACTTTTACTGTTTTACATAGGCTTCTGGTTTATCATCCCACCAACCATAAATTTTTATAACTTTTTGGAAAATACATTCAGGCATCATATTTTTCCAAATTTTTTCTAAGGTAGCTATGTTTTTGACTGATTTTTTTTCACTTTTAATTGGAGTTTGAAATAAATTCTACGACCAAAATTTGAATGCGAAAACAAATGTGAAAGGGGAAGGAAGGCTGTGTTATTGAACATAATTAGCTCTATTAGGTATGGAATGATTGGATTTATTTTCCACATTAGCACAGCTTCATTGAATTTGTGGCTTGTGACACTTTCTAAACACAAGATGAAAAGTAATCGAGGCAGTTAATTCATTTCAAACGCAGGCAGTCTTGATTCTGCGTTGGAAGTGAACAAAGAAAAGTCTTAGATAATCTCTATGATACTCTTACAACTGTGGCATCAATTACATTGCATATAAGCTACCAAGCTGAAAAGGGATGCACCTATATATGTATGGCAACACAAACTGCATGCAGATCATTAAATATGTTTTTATTAGAAAGTTAGTTTTCCACTTCCAGATTTAAGAATTGACGGGGAGCCTTGGACTAACTCTTCCTTATTCTTTTCACATCTTTTCGTGTCAGGGGATTTTGGTGGCTGTATTGAGGACTTGGTTCCGTTGTATACTACAAAGCAACTTTTAGCCATCAAGGGGAACTAATCAAATCGGATTTTAGGGGATTATGAATGGAACCTTCAAGGCAGTCCAAGCGAATGTTGAGGCAGGTAGCTCTTTTTTTTTTTCCTTTTGCAAGTGTAAAAGTTTGGAGAATTGATTACTTCCACGTTCTGGGCGGGTATTAAGATGATACAGTTAGACAAGGAGGGTTATTGACAAGACTGAAACTTTCTTTTGAACAGGACACTGTTTATCCGGTTTACTACAAGTACTATATGTTGTATGTAATATGTAACATCACCAGAAATTTTACAAGTAGTAATTAAACTTCTGTTACTGTTTTTTTGTTTTAGCTACAATTATAGCGCCAATTTTACGTATGCGTGTGAAATTGTTTGTCTGACAAGCAGCACGGTGGAATTGTAATCTAGTTGCAGGTCCTTGGTGAAAGGAACATCTTATACGGTCACAAGGTATGTCTCTTATCCGCCTTAGCTAATTTTCAATCATTTTCGAGTATGGTATGTGTTAAATACCTTTTTCATATTATAACATCTGAATTCAAATTGTGACTGCCAACCACCCGATGAGAAGTACTAACTGAGGCAGCTATTTGATTTCAAGGGCATCAGCATGGTCTTAATTTGGGTCAGGAAGCGATTGAATCAAGTCTCAGATTTTCATTGCCAATGTCACAATGCACATGTCATCCTGGAGACATTCATTTGCCGCAGTTTTCCAACGAGTTTGAAGCGTTTCAATGATTTTGGTTGTCCTGAATTTCAAAGGTAAACAATGGTATTCATATATAAATTCTATTGCAGATTAAATTCGGGTTGAGCGATCGAGCTGAAAATCGTCTCCCTTCTTCTATCTATTGCAGACTTGCAGTTGATTAATGAATGGCCAGGGTAACCAATTTTTTATTTGGCCAGGAGTCTCTGGATGTAGAATGATGTGCAGAGTGATGCATTTTTTATATTGTTGGTTGAGAAGGATGCTGCTTTTATTCGATTGTCGGAGGATCAGTTTTACAATAGAATTCCATGTATTATCCTGGATGTAAAGGGGGAGCCAAATGTAGCCACCACTCTTTTTAAGCAAGGTGAAGCTGGAACTGAAGCTACCGGTGCTGGCTCTTGTGGAAAGTGATCCGTACGGGTTGAAGTGGTCGAAGAACATGTCATATGACACTGCGAATTTGACCACACCAGATATAAAATGGTTGGGATATGGCGGAGTGATTTGAACAAGTACAAAATTCCGGAGCAGTGTAGGTTGACGATGACAGATCATGATATTAAAACAGGGAAGGAAATGCTGGAGGAAGATTTTGTGAAGAAGAATCCAAAATGGGTTGAGGAGATCTCATGGTGAAAAGCAAGCAAAAGGCAGAAATTCAGGCTCTGAGCGCATTCAGCTTTCAGTATCTGGCTCAGGTTTATTTGCCACTAAAACTGCAGGAGCAGGATTGGATATGAGCCCCGGGTAGCGTTTGTTTTATAGGAAGTCATGAATTTACTTTGACATTAGTTTGTAACGGTGTAATATCTTTTGAATTGTTTCAGTTGAAAGGAGAAGGAATGGAATGGATGAACAATGATTTTGTGACTTTGTTTCCCGTGGATATTTGCTCATTTTTCTTGTGGCCTTCTTGTTGTATCTAAGTGGTTGAGTAACTATACTCTTATTAGTCAACAAGATTTCTTTAGTTCAAGGACACGAAGAAAACTAAAGGAATATAACGGAAAGAAGGATAAAAAGCTTATTTCATTGCTTCTGCGGATTACATCTGCCCGTTGTGTATAATTTACATGTGATACCAGTACAATACAGGCTTACTCTGCGGTACCAGTATACACAAGTAAAAAAGAATAATTATTGGTTGTTTTAGTAACATGTACAAGTTTGAATTCATAAATTGAAGCAGTCACCTTCTGGAGGCACTTCTTTTCCGCAGCCACTGTAGCAACGATCCCCTGGTTACCTTTAGCCGTTCTAGTGCAACGGGTCGTCTGGTGGAATATATCAAGTCAGTCGTTAATTCGGTCCTACTTGTCATCTCTTCTGACTCTTGATCTGAATCAGTAATGTTCTCCGGTTCTACTGTCGTATCAAGTCCCGTTTTAGGTCCTGTTGCAAGAACCTTGAGCCCCAATTCATCCCGCAGAAGTTTCGTTATTGCATCTTTCACCTCTAAATTCTGTGTAGTTGAGCCTCCATCAACATCGTGGACTCCTACAACAATCAGCATGTCTTCTTTTACTGAATGCCCTGCAAATCATAAACAAGTCTTAGCATCAGCATGCTGAAAGTTCGAAACTCTGGATCCTACGTTTCTTCTTCCATTTCGCATTCGCTAATGTAGTTCAAGACTGATTTTTACCCTATCCAAAATCAGAAAGAATAAATGAATGCCCAATCCTTTCATACCTGAGCTGTAGTTCTCTTTGATCATTCGTAGAACTGCAAGAAGAACAATCCGAGCTTCAACCTGTCAACAATTATTGCAGCAATTTAAGAACGTATTAGCATGGGAACAAAGAAATGAATCCTATTTAAAAAAATGGACAAACGAAATCACATAATAACATGTTCACCGAGATTGCGAAGAATATAAATTGGCTGGTACATGAAAATACCTTTGTCAGTCCTTGAAGGTCAACTGCTAAGGTTTCGGCAGTACGCTTTTGCAAGTGTTCTGCAACTTTTTCAAGCAGCAGACTTCCAGGTCTCCCTATGTCAGTTTTGTCGTGGGAACTGAACTCTCCTTGTTTGGCATTGCTGTCTTGTATAACTCCTTCACACCACTCCTCAATCAGTTGCTCTAGGAAACGATCATTAGATTTGTAACTGCAAAATAAATCATAATTAGCAAAATGTACTTGTTCATGACAACCCAAACATGTGCTGGTATACCCCGCATTCCGCATGTCCCGGTATATAGCCAGGCATTGTTGCACTTCGCTCACAGAACCGTATCTACTACGAGCCCTCAGAATTGTATTATATGTCACCTGGAAAAAAAGTGCCAAGGATTTACACGGTGGACTTGTGATCATTTTGTTTGCATTGTCATTAGAATTATACGCAGAATCATGTCAAGACATGTATGGAATTTCTTGTATGGTATAAAATAAAGCAAAAAAATGACTTTGGCAACTATGTTTCATACATGTCGGAGCAGTTCCATCCTTATGGCAGGACGAGTCGAACATAACATGCTAAAGGGAAATCCAAAACTACACCAATGAAATTATTTGTAAATCATGCTTATTTGTACGAAAACTTTCCTCAGAATGTGTTAGGATATATGATTGGAAATGTTCTTGGTACTCACAAAATTTGGGCGTATCTGATATTTTTTCATTTCTGCAAACAGCGACAATGCTAGCTCCAAATTTCCACTTTCCACACAGACCTATGAACCAAAGCACATGATGCATCAACATTTAGGGTGGAAAAAAAAAAATGCAATTTTGCATCTAATTAATTAAGCACATGTAGGAAGAATAGTGGTTATAAACAAGATAAATCGCGAGACAGGGAAAGCTTCAAACCTTAATAGCTGTTGTATATGCAACAACATCAGGTTTCATCCCACCTGCACGCATATTTGTCAAAATCTGCACTGAACCAAAAATTTGTTATATTCGTGTCCCTGACTTATTTTGTTTCATCGTGACTTTGTACACTGACAATGAAATATTTTGCCTTGAGTTTTGCTTCTAATTAAAAGGAAATTTTTGACAATGACGCAGAAAGAACTATAAAATAATTAAGTTAATCAAATTAATTTATCTATTACCTGCAAAGCACCCTTGACATTTCCTGAGCTTCCGCAGATATCAGCCAAAATCGACCAGCTTATTTGATTAGGATAAAGACCTATTGTTCTCATCTCATCCATTAGTGCTTGTGCATGGTAGTAGTCAGTACCACAGGCCTTCATCATAGTATTGTACGTCGTAGTTGTGGGTTTGAAAGAAAGCCCTTTAGAAAGTTCAGGTGAAATCAAATTAGAGGTGGAAAACCATACTCATGATGATGCAATGTAGATAACTATATGCTCCACGCAAACTGCTATACCTTTGTAGTTTTTGCTCTTCAAAGACTGGAAAAGCCGAAAAGCCCTATCGTACTGGCAAGCCTCGACGCAAGCATGTAGAAGGATGTTAAAACACTGCGAATTAGGTTCAGAGCCAGCCAGAAGCATCTCTTCAAACAATTGAATTGCCTTCTCAACAAGACCTGCATTTGCACAGGCACTGATCAATGACGACCATGTAACTGTATTAGGCGTTACACCTGCAGATAGCATGTCTTCTTTGACTTTTAGAGCCATGTGCCACAATTTTGCATCTGAAAAGACCTAAACGATTGGTCATTAGTTATGGAGATCGTAAACGCCTCTCTATGGAAAATCCATTGATACTAAGAAAAATAGTATTCGTGTACTTGTGCATATTACTATCAACAGTAAGAAAATAATATCTCATAAGCAAATTAATATTTACCTTTACAATAGTGCTGTACGTGAAGACATCCAACTTCAACACTCCCGTTGATTCCAAATGCTGTACTTCTCTGTAAATATCCTGTGCCAAATCAACTCGCCCAGCAAGACAACATATCTTTAAGAGGATATTATAACATGCCATATCTGCTCTGACGCCAAGATTCTGGATAGAGAATAATAGATTTAGATAATTGTAGCTTAATTCACAAGAAACCAATTATTTATTACATAACATTGTCAAATACAAACCAGAAGAACAATTTCTGTATTGAGTAACATTGAAAGAAAAATAGTAGATATCCGCGCTGTGTGCGTATGAAAGAGAGACAGACAGCATTACCTTCATATTCCTGTAAACATGGAATGTGTAGGTCAAATCATGTGCGTTCACATTCATGAGACTGTTGAAAACATAAATATTCGGAGTGACCTTCTGTTTGAGCAAGTCCTGCAGAAAAAAATCACGGGGATGAAGATCCTGATTTGTAATCTCACTGACTGCATTAATGTTATAGACATGTACAAGGATTCGCTTGGCAAATATGGTTATGTTTTGAATGAGATGATGATGAAGAGAAAACAGATAAAAGTATACAAAAACTACATTTTAAAATAAAAACTAAAAGCAATTCAGTAATTTTTAATATTTATTTTTGTTTATTCTCCCTTCAATCTTCATCCACTCTTCCATCCTTGTCTCTGTTCCTTTCTCTTCTTGTTATTAAGGAAAACAAACTAATAACAAACATTATCAAGATTCAAGGTGCTAATTAAACCATCAATTTTCTCAAGAAAAAAGGACCAAGTAAAGAAAATTTGATACTAAATTGTTTCACATGAAATACAAATGCTGAGAGAATTGAAGGAAACATCCCAGTTGGCACATACCACCACACCACGGCTCATAAGGAAAACATAGATATTAAAGGAAAAATCAGTTTTGAGTTATGGAATAAAAAGAGTTAAACAGTTCCAAAAGCAAAACAGTTCCAAATAACGAAGGCAATCACGGCAGTATATACCTCATAGATGTACCTAGATTTCATGTAGTCTTTGCAGAGGCCACATACATCAATTATTGTGCGATAGACATACATATTAGAACCACTCAGGTTTTCCTTGGATGCTTCATATGCTGTCAAAGCAGACTCCAACGCCCTTCTCTTTCCAAATTCATTTATAATGTTGCAGAATAAAATATGCGCATGTGGAAAAATACAAGCATACCTGCAAAATGTAAGGACCAAAGCATAATGAAGAAATAAGTGCTATTGAAAAACAAGCAAAATTTCACATCCTTGGAAAGAGTATGAAGTCTTTCTAATCTAAACTTGCTAAAAGAAAATGTATGAGCAATGCAGAAGACATATGAGAAACCCTCGGACTGACTCATAAGAGAACAGTCAATTATACCTTATTGCCAATTTCGGGCAGCGTTTATCAACACAAACTTTGATAACTTCATATGGCTCCAGCAGTTCTTTGATCGGGAAATGAAAACCTGAACCAAGTATTATCTGTTACCAACCCATACAGTCTCATGTTCTCAACCATGGCTCATCATATGCTCATTCTTCGAAGACTGAAATTCTCATGAAACATTGACTCTTCCCTTCCCATTCACATTACACTAACTCATGACAAGAATTTCAACATTTTCGACCGCCCTTTTTCTAAATCCATCATTTAGAAGCAACCAAACACATTACCAATCCTAATTACACTTCAAAAGTATATGCCAATGAATTCCAAAAGTTGGGTACTTAACCATTTCTCTAACAATTTGAAATCTTTGAACATAAAACCATGATTGGGTTAATTATAAAACCAATGCAGGTTTATACTTCAATAAATTAAACAAATTAATCAAGAAATAATTTGAAAATTACCTTGAAGAACCTCCATGAGCTCAACAAGTTCCTGCACTTGCCTACATTTCAAAAGCCGGCGACACTGTCTCCCCAGCAACTCCATAGCGTAGCCATCAAACAGCTTCAACGGCGGAACCCCGAGCTCATCAACCTTACTCAGCACATCAACAACGCCCCCCACCTTCCCCTCTTTCAAAAACCCGCGAAATGCCCTTCGACACCAGCTCAACCCTGAGCGCCGCCGTGAACTCTGATCCCCTGACGCCCGAAAGCACGACGCTTTCGACAATCATGGCGAAATCCTGGAGCCTTCCATCGCGGGCGAGTTTTGAGGCGAGGTCGGCGAAGTAGCAGAGGTGGGTTTTGTTGGGGTCCCAGCGGATGGCGGAGAGGGGAGGGGGGCGGGAATGGAGGATGGAGATTGGAGGGGAGGATTTGAAGGGAGGGAGGGATAAGTGTTTGTTGGTGTTGTCTTTGTAGGGTCTGGTGGAGTGGTGGTTGTTGGCGGCATGGGGATTCGGAAGAGTGGCAATGGAGGAAGAAGAAGAGAAGTAGCTGAGGATTACGAACTCTCTCATCCCTCTCACAGCAATACAAACCGTTGTGTTACTTTGTGTATGTTTCTAATTTATTTATTTATTTATTTATTAGTTTTTGGGTGTGAGATGTTTGGGGTTTTTATATGGGTTTTTGAGGATTGGATTTGAAAGGCCGGTATTTTCGTGGGAAATTTTATCAACTTTTAAACGGTTTCTTCAAAGATCTATGGAAGACGCTCTGCTGTACCACCTGTTATTTGTATGTTATTAGCAAAATGGTTATCGGACTGTGTTTTGGTGTCTATTTGAAGAGAAATTTTTCTATGTTACTGGAACATGTTTTTATGCTGTTACATCATGTGCCATAATATAAGTGGAGATAAAAAAAATTTTAGTTTTCCTCTGCATGTATTATAACACATGGTACACCAGACCGTATTTTAAAAATACTAAAAAATTTCTCACATTTGAAACATTTAATCATTTAGACTTTGTAAGATATTTTTATGTTTGACTTTGATGAGCGATTTTGATACTTAATTACAAATAACTTTTTTGTAAAAGATTTTATTTTCTATTATCGTGAATAACGAACTTGCAACTTAACAAAAGTCCATCCTAAAATGGACTCTGTTCAAACCATTTAACTTGCTAAGAGCATGTCTATGTGTGAGAAGGACAGTGATGCTCATCTAAGGTCCTTAATTGGAGGACCAATTAGAACCAACTCTATCTCAATCATAGAAATTTATTTAGTTGGATCTAGCGGCTCAAATTCTTTCACAAATTAAAACATTTTATTCACACTTTATTCACACCCCTCTTAATTTAATCCGCCGGTTTTGTGGAAACCCGTTTTTCTCTTGTCCTTGCAAATCTCTTCGATTGCTTCTTTGTCAATGTCCTTGCACGTCTTGTATTACAAGGTTTGCAAGATAAGAATTTTCTTTTTTATTTTGTTTGATTCACAAATATTTCTTCAATCTTTAATTGATTACAATATTCCTTTTTTCAAAACTTTGTCCATGTTTGTGATTTTTATGAGCCAAAATAGTTGTTTCATGTTATGGCGTCTGATGTAAATATTTAAATTCGAATTTAATAATATCTACTATTTGACAAAAAAAAAAAAAAATTGTCCTAAATTGCATAACACAAGAATTGTAGGGCTTATTTGATTTTCTTTTCTTTATTTTATTTTATTTTGATCATCTGGGGTTTCTTTGCAGTACTTCTGTATTTGAAAACATGACCTATTAAATCCATTTTAATAAACGAAATTGGGAAGGAAGTTCAGTGGTGGCTGATTAAACGAAGAGCATAAGATTTTTTTTTTTTGTTGGGATTAGGTTTATAAGCCAAATCCGGAGAAATGAACGACGTTGTCAAGGAATTCTTACATGTTTTTATTTTTTCTGTGAAGGTAAAATAAATGTCGGTTGGTCGAACTTAGATATGGCTGTAAATAGATTGTAAAAGAATATAAACCGTTAGATATTATTGAATAAAATCGTAGAATATGAGCCGTTAGATGTTATTGAATAAAATCATACGGCTGATATAGAGCTGGTCTTCACAATTCCTCAAAATGAGAACTTAAGGTGAGCATGTATCACCGGTCAGAGGGAAGGGGTTAGGGGCTAGAGCCGTTTTAGCCTTCTAAAATGACCATATCCATGAATTAGCATTGGCATCCAATGAGATATAAATCAACATTAAATGGAATAAAATCACTAAATAATGTGGCGTTACAATGTTTTCCCACATCATGTGGTATGAATAGCATTGTTCAATTTTTTCTTGTTTTAGAGGTGAGGAGCTCGGAGTTCAGAATTTTTAAAAGCAACCACTATGTGTCTTTTGTTGGTTGCATGGGCGACTGCAGGGGTTCCCTGGGATCCTATGAAAGTTGAGAAATATGGGGCAAGGGTCGCCGGAGGACTCTACGGCCATCTGGTATGGGTCTTGAAACTCCCCACAAATTATTTGTTGAAATGCCTCTTTGGAAAATTTTGGTAGGGCTTGAGCACTGATGCTCAACAAGCCTCGTCATCAAGCCTTGGAAGTTGTCGACAAATTTAGGCGTAATGACATGCCCGCCAATTGTTCGACTAAATAACTCGCACAGTAAATTAAGTCATTTGGGTGTACTATACATGATATATGCATCTGTGTGAGTTCTATGATGCGAAAATGTTACTGAGTATTCAACCTAATGGATAGGGTGTTAGATTTCTATCAATACGTTTAGGATTTAAAACTTTATGTTCTAAAGTAATGTAATGGTTTTGAACTACCCTCCCTTAATCATACTATTATTAAGAAAAGAGGCATCGTCAACCTTTTTCTCAAAATGACAATCGTATCTCTGTTTTTCTTCTTTTACCCTTACTTTTAACACACACTATTTATAATATGAGGACAAAAAGTAATCATATATTATGTTAAAAAAAATAAAAAATTATGCCCACATTAGAATAAACTGCCTCATCATTATCCCATTTTTCATAACTGAATTTTTCTTTTTTAGAATGTTAAAAGCTAATCAAACTCCTTAATCAAAAACAAAAAAATAAAAAATAAAATGAAATGTCTTTAAAAAATGATTTTAAGTCATAGCATTTCTATTTCTATGAAATGAAATGTTCATGAACTTCTGGACCGTTATTTTATGGTAAAAACTCATGCTTTTTGTGTATATATTATTTTTACAATTGCCTACAGATTTTTAAGATGCCTTCTTCTTCTTTTCTCCTCCAAACATTGAATTTTTTTTATTTTATTTTTTTCAAACAACCATTAAGATATTTGAGTAAACTAAAATATATTTTAAGGTACAGAAATCAAGCTCCATACGTTATTGTTTTACTAAATCTATTTTCCATCAATTTAGTTTTTTTGGATGATTCTTGCATGTAAGAAATGTGTTTTTTGAATTAGTATAAAATTCGAGACTAGTTACCTTCTTTTCCAATGATTTGATTGGTCAGAATCGAGGTGAGAATTAGTTCTAACAGTCATTAATTCAACAATGAAAAAGCCTACAACAAAAGAAACATACAGGTGGAGTCTTAACGATTGTGCTATGTCCAGTGGCGAAGCCACAACAGGGCAAGAAGGGGCGGCCACCCATCCGGTCGTCAAAAATTCACATGCAGAGCAAGGAATCCGTCCCTTCGGTCGTCGAAAAGCCACATAAAGAGCCATGGTGTCGGTGAGCTACTTGTTGCAGAGGAGGGCAACTCCTACTCGAGGAAGAAGAATAGAAAAGAAAAGAAAAGTTGTTGTAAAAAAATCTTGTATCGGACGGTGTCGTTTCAGCATTCCTTTTAAATGAAACGTTGCATTTTGTTACTTTTTTCACATAAAATAAGACTTTCAATACTAAAATTACCTTAATGTTGCTAATACAATATGGAGGAGGTTATTTCATACTCAAACTTGTATGGTTTTTTTTTTTTCCCAGCCATCACTACTTTCAATGACTTTCCGACGTGACTTTGAGGACTTGTTTCATGTTTCAAAAATAATAGGAAAACTAATAAAAAATGCTTGAAAATTTTGAGTTTTAACCAAAAGGTGAATAGTATCATGACTAACTTTTTAGAGTAAAAATGTCTTTAACGTTAAAAGTGAACAATATCATAAGTGTTTCGTTAAGACTCCCTAATTTAAATCCATCTAGGCTCCTGCCTAGATCTCGCCTAGGCACCTAGTTGCTAGGTTCTAGTCCGCTGTTTGACTAGCGCTTAACATGTTTTCTAATCCTAGCCAATATAAGCTTCTTACATTGGCTTTAGTATTATTGCTTACAACCGCCTTGGTAGAGAGACTATTTTCTGTTATGAATATTAAATCAAAATTTTGCACTCTTCAATGTGAAAGCAACCACTTCGATTGAACCTTGCACTCTTTTGAATTTCGCCTCTCCCTTCAACAAATCCTGACTTCGCCACTTACTAAGTCGTACATTTCATGGTCGGGTTCGGGAGTGGTTACGATGCCACGGTTTAGGATCCGTTTTTTTATCACACCATTCCCGTGGTTTTGGCTTTTAGCATTTTTCCAACATATTCCACAAACATTTAAGAGTTTAGAATGAAAATCATTGCTCGTAAGTTTGACTGTTTTTAGTTTCCATGAAAATAATAGTTGAACTAGATATAAACATTCTAAATGATTGAATTTTAGATCGGGAAATTATGCTGCATTGTTAAAAAATGTTTTAAAGGTTCAAATCTCATAACAAGAATTACGTTGATGTTCAGCTCTAAATTATTTAAATTACAAGAGGATAGGGGAATTCAAACTTGAGTTCAGAGGAGAAGAAACATAATAATTTAGCTAAGTTTAACTCGTCATCATTCGAACATTTGACCTCTCCTTTATAAATAAAAAAAAATACCACTAAACCATCATATAAAAGAAATATCCTAGAAATTGAACTTAATCTCATTTTCTCATAAAACATAAATATCACCGCTTACGCTCTAAAAACTCAATTTTTGCCCTACTTTGAAGATTTTCCATTTATTCCGTTAAACTTGCTGATGTGGCATGATATGGCAAAAATGCAGTGGCTATTTCGATCAAATTGTAACACTAACTATTCAATAATTAAAATTAAAAAAACTAAAAACTAAAAAGAAAATTCCCAATTCCCAACATTTATCCGCGCCCTCCCTCTTGGCTTCTCTCTCCCTCCGCATCGCCACCTCCATTTCCTACGGGACTGGCGATCGGCATAGTAATTACTGGATTTTTGTTGGGTTGCAGTTGCACGACCGAGTTTTCAACTTTAAAAATGGATAGCTGAAGACGAAGATTGGCGGGGAAGGACATGAGTTCCTCCGTGAACCAATTTCGAATTTTCTTATCTACATCTTTTAAAAATAGGCTTACTCTATTAACATCTCACATACTTAATATATTTCATATTTGCGTTTTCAATTAAAAAATTATCTTAATACACTCCACGTACTTTCTCATAAGACCCTTACACTCCACATTCTCATCCACCTAATACTTTCCACATACACCCCACATTCTTCAAATCTTATAATATTCATTTTCAATTTTTATAAATTAAATTGACTTAGGATTAAAACCCTAACATTCTCTGAAAAGAGAAGTCTACAATCCGGTATGTTAAGCTTGAATTCCATTGGATCATCACAGCCAATCTCCTTTTCTCTGTCTCTTTAAGCCTTTTGCTAACAAAAAAGGATTTCTGCTAAAAAATGGCAACTGGAAGGAACCTAACAGATCAAAAATAAAACCCAGAAGATGAATAAGAATGAAAAGGGCATTACTGGGTTGGCCTCCTATGAAATTGGGTAGTATGGAAAACAAAAGCATGCTTAAATAATCACCAATGTCTTTGAATAATAAAAACAATGACAAATGTGAAATTGTCATTGCATGGTAGATTACTTAAGCTACTTAATATTAAATTTTAATATAAGATGCATTCAACATTACATACAAAAACTTTAAAAATATTGCAAACTCGAAACTGGTTCACGATGGAACTCAAATGTACATTTGGATTTTGAACTTGCTGTGCTTCTGGGAAAAATGGAATTTAATAGCCATAACTGTGCTTTTGAGAAAAATGGAATTTCAGGCACAATCCCAATTTTCCGCTGCAAGAAAAATTCTGTGGAAATTTCAATTTTCCACTTGTAAGTGGGGATTAAGTTCAATTCCCATAAAAAAAGATAATAGTGTTTGTTAAAATTAAAAATAAAAATGCCTTGTACGCGCCGCCAATTGTGGCAAAGAACGGGAGAATTACGAGGGTAATAAGACCAACCAGCTCCACAACAATCCGCCACGTCGCGTATTTGCAGGGGCAAATCAGGAAATCCACATAGACGTCAAGCTTCTGGAGTGTCCCGTCCCGTTCATATTCCTTATCCAGATTACCAGACGGGTGGCAGCGCATCATTTCGGAAACTCGGACGGAAGATCAAAACCAATCCGGAAATCGTCCGAAATTTCGGAAATCGGAAGCTTTTGATGCCGATAAGGGATGCCGCCGAAGCAGCAATCGAAGGCCGATTTGGCGAAGAAGCAGAAGATCGTAGAGGACAAGACCTTCGGGCTCAAGAACAAGAACAAGAGCAAGAACGTGCAGAAGTATGTTCAGAGCCTCAAGCAATCCGTCGAGCCGAAAGCCGATCCTTCCAAGACTGCCGTTAAGGTCCCATTTTTCTTCATTTTTTTTTAAATTTCTTTGGTTAATCGTTGATTGATCGGTTGATTGATTAACTTATATTTTTTAGAGAAAAAGTGAGAAATTTTGATTTCTTGCACCCAACTTAGATTAGAATAAACATCGCAGACGTGGTTAGTCTAGTTGGGCCAAGACAAGTTATGAGCCCTTTCACCCCTGTTTGAATGCTACTCGTGTGCATAAAATAGTTTAGAATATCGTCTTCTGAAAAACCAAAGAATTGTCAAAAGACTAGGAAATAAAATTTAGAATTTGCATGGTTATGGAAATTTTTAATTTCACGTAGATGAGTTTGAGGAGAAGGACTTACCAACACTCCAGGACCCCACCGTCACCAATAACACGACAACGTGTTATGCTTCACATGATTGGTTTGGGATGTATCCATCTTGGCATTGCCGTTTCATGCTAGTTCTTTTGAGTTTGAGACTTTTTAGGAAATTATCATTTCATTTCTTAACTGAAATAATATCACACATTTTAATCATAGCTCACCTATTCTAACCAAAGCTAACAAACTTAGTAACAAACATAACAAACTCTAAGTATCATCCTTTACAGATACATTTACAATATTAGCCTTAATAGCCCCCCTCAAACTGATCTGAGGCACTCGAAGAGAGAGTTTGTCGCGAAGAAGCAGAAATCTGTGCTTGGATTATGCTTTGGTACAAATGTCTGCAGTCTGGTCCTGTGTGCAGACAAAGTCAACTGAAACCTCTTTAGCTAAAACCTTCTCTCTAATATAATGATAATCTATTTCAACATGCTTAGTTCTAGCACGAAAGAGAGGGGTTTTAGCCAGAGATATAGCAGAAAGGTTATCACACCATAACTGTGGAATACATGGAAGTTTGAATCCAATGTCAACTAAGACTTTGGCTTTTTCAAGTGGTTATCTGTTTGGCTTTTTCAAGTGGTTATCTGTTTGGCTTCATATGGAGCTTCCTTTATAGTAACTAAAATGATTCATATAACAGAAGAAGAAGGAGGAAGAGAAGGCCAAGGACAAGGAGCTGAATGAATTATTTAAGGTTGCTATTAGTCAACCGAAAGTACCAGTTGGTAAGTGATTAATTTCTGTTTTAGTGCCCTGTTGGTTGAAGTTTTTTATGTATATATACGGTCGAAACTTCGATATGATGTAATATTTGATATGTGTTTAGGTGTTGATCCCAAGTCTATACTATGTGAGTTCTATAAGGCAGGGCAGTGCGCAAAAGGTTTCAAGTGCAAGTTCTCACATGATTTGAATGTTCAGAGGAAGGGAGAAAAGATTGACATTTACAGTGATAAGCGTGATAATGGTACCATATAGAATTTTTAGCTTCAGTATGATGCCGATTGTCCAGAATTTTGGGTATTTTTGTGGTTGATGTTGTTCTAAGTTTGCTGTTATATCTTTTATAGAAGAAACAATGGAGGGCTGGGATCAAGAAACTTTGGAGAAGGTGGTGGAGTCAAAAAAAAATGAGTACAAGCAGAACAAACCAACTGATATTGTAAGTTTTCTCTCTCTGAGGCTTTTCGTACAATATGCATTCTAGTTCTCAACTTCTTACATGCTTATTTAATATAGATAGTTCGAACTATCGATGGGCTTGGTAGACTTCAGAATGATCTTTCCTTTGTTGTTTGGAATATATGTGCAGGTCTGTAAATACTTTTTAGAAGCAGTGGAGAAGAAACAATATGGTTGGTTTTGGGTATGTCCCAATGGCGGTAAAAATTGCCATTACAGGCATGCTCTTCCTCCAGGATATGTTTTGAAGTCTCAGATGAAGGCTCTGTTAGAGGAAGAGAGTGAAAAGATACCCATTGAAGAGGAGATTGAAAATCAGGTATTTGACAAGTCTTTACATCAAATTATAGCATTTCCAATTTGAGGATCTAAATGCCTTGAGTTTCATTTCTATCGTTTCCTGATATGTAACCTCGCCAAACATTTGCCTTTTGCTTTTAGCGTGCTAAATTGACAACTTCAACTCCTATGACTCCTGAGTTGTTCATGCAATGGAGGAAGAAAAAGATTGCAGAAAGAGATGCTGGCTTGGCTGTGCAAATGGCAGAGCGGGCTAAGAATGACCGCATGAGGTGTCTATTTTTTCCACTTTCTCCAATATATGTTCACCCCCACCCTTTTGGAGGACGAAGAGTAAATGAAAAAGAAAATGGATACGACTATTAACATTCTCATTTTAGAATGGAGGAAATGACTATATGAATTGAAGTTGTTAACATTTACTAATTGTGTTATTCTCTTCGCTCTTGCAGTGGCCGTGAACTATTTTTGTCAGATTCTAGCTTATTTGTGGATGATGCCGAGGCACACGGGAATTACCAAAGAGAGCAAGAACCTGCAGTTTCCGAAAAGAAGGTTAGTTCTGTTTTTTAATTTTCTTGGCGATGAACAGAAGGGTAGTTTCACTTATTAGCTGCACCCTTTTATATTGGCCATATAAAAACTCTCTATTTTATTGCACTGGAGGTTGGTGTTATGAGATAGAAGTGCTTATGCCTGCTAAAGCTTATGATTATTGTTCTTGCATAGTTGACCGTAGATGCCAGTGCAGGGTCTGGTTAATATGTAGGATGCTAATATTGACTTGTACAGAATTGAATGGACTATGTGTTAATTGTTTCACTCAACTTTTCTTCGGCCTAAATTCAGGCCATTGAAAACTCTAATGGACATGGACCAAGCAACTCAGCAACAGCTGGCGGTGATGCTGAAGTTACCAATTTCAATGATGATGACGAACTGGACATAGATGAGTTGAACGAGTTGGAAGCAAGCTTAGCGAAGGTGACAATTCAAGAACCGGGTGCTCGTGCTTAGTCCAAGAGAGTCAAGCTGAAGTCTGCATACTTCTTTAAGTTGCATTCATCTTACTATCCGTAAGCTCATGGCCCCTCTCAATGATGGCGACCTCTCACGGATGTTCTCCAAAAGCTTATAATGTTCACCCGTGAGTGCTCGTACCATCTTTGGGGGATCATTGTAATTTATTGCCATCTCTATAGCCAATTGTCCCTTGAGAAGGACACGGAAATAATCATTGCATTGTAATTTACCTTAAGCACCGTAAAACGCAAGTAATGTCTCTCCTTCCATTTATGCTAGTTACCAATGGTGAAGAATGTAACCAATGTTTCTCTTGTGAGTTGGAGCAAACAGCATGCGGTGTGGGCTACAATGCCTATAAAGTGACCAACATAGGGACCTATAAATCCAAATGCCCCTGACTAACATAAAAGGATGTTCAATAACCATTAAGGGAACCAACGTGCATTTCTCACTTAGTGTTCCATCGAAGCCTAGCATGGTACATCAAGATAGAGACATCCCTCATAAAAGGACATAAAAATCCAAATAAAACTGCCCAACATAAAAGGATCAATTACCATTGAGGGAACCAACCATACATTTTTTACTGTAGTGTTCCTTCAAAGCCTAGCATGTTACATCAAGATGTGGGGGGCAACTCAGCTCGCAAAACTAACCATTAACAAGATTAGTAGTTAAGTGCATAAGCAATTGTACGCTAGCGAGGACATCTTGACTTAGGCCGTGCATAAGCAAGCATGACGCCATAAAAATATGTCTAACTTGTACTTCTTAACTTCTTACGCATTCATTCTATCACTAATAATATCTTAACCTAATCACTCGAATTCAGCATAGATTGATCAGATCAGGCCTGATATTGATCCAACTTACTTGTGATGTGAAGTTTTATCTCTATCGTAGATCGTTGTCACAATTTTTCAGCGGGAAATTAAGTACATTTGTGACTTGTATCAAACCATACACCCCTATATAACTAAGCGTGGTGCGTCTAGACAGTGTATAATGACAGGCACTAATAGGCATTAATAGGATAAACCTATTTTCTATCTTGATAAGAGAAATTTTGTGTCAAACAGAGAGCTTTTTTGGATGCATGAATTTGGAAAAACCTTTTGCACCTTTGAATTATAATTGCACTCTTGCTGATACAAGTTTCAGAGTTTTGTGGCGGAGGCCATCACTGATAATTGAAGAAAAAATTTACACATCTTTATTTTCCAACATTGGAGAAACCAAAACCAACCATTTCGTGTTTAGCTTTTTAAATTAGTTTAGATTTTGTTTTTACTCATTCTTCTTTATCCTCTTTCTCCGCCCTTCTTTATCTCTCAATTAATTTTGCTCATATACTCTTTTTAAATCTCGAACATAAAAATTGAAAGTTAAAAACGAAGTATCGAACGAGCCCTTAAAAAATTGTAAAACTATGCCCTTTTTAATGATAACTCTCAAGATATATGATTATTCTTTTTTATTTTCTGGTTAAGAGCTACATGATTATTGATTAGTAACAAACCAAATTCGACAAGGAATGGTGCAGCTTCGCTCCCAACAGTTAAAACTTTTTATATTAGAATTGATCAACAACGCAATGATGGCTTTTTCGGGTTCAACTGCAACAAAATTGTCATTCTTTATGGTCACAGATGCTGTCTAGATAAAAGGGCTTCAAATTTGCACGACTGGAGCAACCTTGTTGGCCATATGATTGCACAGTTTACAACTGTACCAAAAAAATTGCAGAAACTTGTTGAGAAAATAAAAAAATGAATAAATGACAAAGAATTTAAAACTCAGGTAAAATTAAGTAAACAAGGTGTGGAGTTTTATACGAAAGGTCTACACTCAAAAGTAGAGGAACCACTCATCATAGAAGTTGTACTTTACTTGGCCTAATGGGATAAATAGTTTTGATAGTGAAAAGGTACTTGAAAAATAGATCCTTAACAAATTTAGTAAAAAATTTTACTTAAATACAAGGGTAAAAAGTATTTTTATTTCAACCATTTTTGTGGGTTTTCTATCCAAACCAAATTAGTAGAACAAAAAAAGGGAAAGTGGGTATAACTGATTTGTTTTTCGCTTCCTCAAATTCCCAGCCTTGATGCATCCAACCTTCTTTTAATATCATGAACAAGGCAAGAAATTTGTATAAATCACACCATTCACTTTCGTAACTACAACCATTAGACTCTTCGTTTTCTAGCGAACCATGAAATAAAGGCATGAAATTTGTATAAATGGTTAAGTATTTTTTGTAAGAAAGAGTGAAATTACAAATTGGAGCGTGGTTGAGATTTCATGTGTCCTGTCACCACAAGAGAGAAGAGAGTGAAATCATTTTTGAATTAAATTTGTTAACGAATTACACAACAATGCTTTAAATCCTCTTTTTTTTTAGCACATGGACTATCTTCCGAATGCCGTATCACCATGAGAACTATTTATAAGATTTACGAATGGGACCTTACATTCTTCAACAAAACTCATCCATTAAGACATCAACATTTTGATAAAGTTGGCATCAGAGAAAACATTTTGACAAATTGAAACAAGGGTCTCTTGAAACAAATTAGGTATCTCTGTTGCATGAATCCAAAAGCACGGTTGAATCTGCAACCGGATAACAGATTGCGCGAAATTCGTGTTCATTAAACACTGTTGAATTCCAAAAGCCATGCAGGACAACAAAGAGTTCATCGCCAAGAAGAACAGAACAATATCCTTCTTCATTAGAATGTAAGAGTAAGAAGAAAAAGAAATGGTTTATTACGAATTTATGATAGGATCAGTACATCAAACCAAAAGCACACCCAATTACAAATTTTCTCATGCATTCTCAAGAGCAGCTGCTCAACTCCTTATATAGATATATAATAATGCAGTACTGCTTCAACATTTGCAGCTACTTAAAGACATCAATGCTCGTATGAACCATACGTTGTTAATTTGATCGCTTTCCGGCTGCATAGGCGCCTGCGCAACCTGTGTCGCCACCTTTATAAGGTGGCTCAGCTCTCTCCCTGGCTTTCGAAACTATTCTCACCACCAACTTGACAAGTCTAGATATTATCTTAACTTTGATCTGGCCTCTCTTTGGAGGAAGCCTAGATAGAGTCATTGGTGTGGACTTTGGAGTACAAAGAAAATGGGAATGAGACCGCTTTTTATAATTTTGGTGTGGGAGCAGAGTGAGTAATGGAGATAGACTGCTAAGTGCTATAAGCTATTTATATTATTTGCTGAAGAAAAAATCATGCAGACGAGGAAAATGCACTATTTGATGGAATTATACTCTTGTGATGGCTGGTTAAAGACGCAAACCGAAGCAGTCAGTCAAGTCAATTATCTGCCAAACCAGACAAGCTCAAAAAATTCTTGAACACAATAGTTAATTGCCCAATATCTTTGAGGGACCTGAAATCTCCACTGTCCCCTTTGAAAAGGACCCGAAGAAGCTCTTGCTGGTGCAACGCAGACAAACCCTAATAGATGTCATCTTCTGGTGAAGGGAACACAAAAATGTGGAAGTACAATAGGATAGGGCAATAATAAGGACACGAGGGTTTGCCTAGGCTAGTGGAAAACTTAGTGAGGACTGCTGGGGTTTTCTGGTTCTGCCTTGGAGCTGATCCTTTAGCCATGATGATTACCAAATCTATATGGTGTACACTGTGCTAACATGAGTTTATCTCTCTCAAAGACCAAACTATCACATCGTTCTCTTCGTCGCCACCAACATTGGTTTTTTCTGTTCACCGCGTACGATATCAGTGGATTCTAACCTGTAATCCTACATGAATGTGTTTGCTAGTTTGTTTTGCACGTGTGCTCATCTCTTTCTGCTTTTTTGGCTGTAAAAACAGTCAATAGCTAAGAGGGAGGCATATTTTGATATAATAGTGACCTTAAATTCTTTTGTAATTGTGAATTACTCAAGGAGAAAATATCGGATCACTAAGCGCATAGGCCTGTGTAATGAGTGAGATACTCATATTAGGTGTGTACATTAGGTGACGAGGCAGAATCTCTCAAAAGCAAAGGTATTGATAAAGTGTTTTTGTGATCTAGTCATCTGCTCAGCGTATACGTACGTACCATATAGTCCTTTGCCTTTGATTTTGAACCGAGTCATTGAAAAACATTGTATAATTACACTGGATTTGTCTTCAATCATACATCATTATTGCAAAAATTTAGACAAATAGGAAACCATTGAGAGATTTTGGTTGCATGAAAAATAAATAAATAGATGAACACATACAATATTTCCAAAAAACACTAAAATGAAACCATTTAATTATAGTGGTTAGATGATTTTGGACTTGAGTACTTTTTCGCAACGATGATCTTTGAGGAAATACCAAAATAGACAGTTCGGATAATAAAAATACACTGCCGAGTGACTCTACATAAGTGTCCCTCTAATAAATTTATTTAAGAATCCTTGAATTGAAGCTCACTCATCAAGTACAATCTGATTCCTTACCAATATCAATGTAAAGTAATGCCAAATTGAAAAACTACACAGATGCAAACCTGAGCTGAAGAAGTAAGAACTTTCATTTATTTATAGTAATCATATTCAGAATTCCTTTTCCAACTAGCCATTTCCTCATAGGAAATCACAATCATATTTACAACATGAGCCCTGTGTTTGTTGTTTTTTTGAAGAAGTAATTACTTAAGTGGATAAAGAATGGTGTATACCAAAAGGATGGTGACAATAACAATGGCTCCTGCTAGGGTAAACCTTGGACTAGTCCATAGCATGAGATTGGACCTTTCTGTCCTCTTGATTGGATCAACCTCCTCAGACAGTGGGTAATTGGACTGCCTAGGGTTCCAGCTCACGTACTTGTTTGGAGAAGAAAACCCTGCGAAGAAGCCACCCTTCTTTTTGTTTTTGCCTTGTTTCCTTATGTTTGCCCATGCCTTGTCCCAATCTGTTGAGAATTTATCACCTGAGGAGGTATTTGGATGATCGACAATCAACCACCATATGGTCGGTTTTATGGTCAGAAGCAGCTAAATCACCTTGAGAATTCAAACTTAAGAGGACTTCTTGTTCGCTAAGAAAGGAAATAGCAACGACTAAGAGCTAGTTGGTAACCACTTAATGGTGGCTAGGAGCATGATATATTACCATTAAGATTGGGCCAAATTAAGAGGGTGGGCGGTTGTATACGCCGCTCTCTCACATCTATCCATCACATATTGCTTTTGAGTGATGAAGCGATTGTGAGAGTTGAATGTATACATACTACCCACTGATGAAACTTTCTTTTAACCCTCTCTCTCCTTTAATTACCTTTTAAAACAAGATCATTATATCATCCATATGCATAATGTTAAGACAGGAATCTCACTACCATCCCTAGTGTATTCTTTGGTTTAATTAGAATAGCATGCAACTCATTGTAACGAAACTGTGAGAATGTGAAGAATTGTCTCGGGGATTTATAACGAATTAAGTCACACTCCAATTCCTGAATTTTTTGGTCGACCTCAACTTCCTTCAGAAACCCGAAAGATGAACAATTAATTAATAAGCTAATAATCTTAATTAAAACTGGTAAATCCAACTCATCCAAATTTCCAAACAGCACCAGCAGTCAAGTGATGACCAAACCAAAACTTGATGGGAAATGCAAAATAATCAGAAGCACATCACACGTGAAGTAATTCTTACATCCAGAAACTGATCATTAACAAATACAAAAGTTAACTAATAGTAATTAAAAGCTAATCATATCAATTAGTAAAGCTGCAGTTAGTAAGCATACCATTGTTGTCACCGTTTTGTTGGGGCTCCTGAGAATCCCTTCTGGAGCACAAGGGCTTCAATGGCGAGTAGCAAGAAGATGGAGAAGAAGATGAAGAGTTATGTTTTCGAGAGGTCCGAAAGTTGTGAGAGGAGGATGATAAGCTTCCTATTCGAGCTTGAATATCCATTTGCAGCAGCACATCCCAGAAACCAAAAGAATAATCCAATCCAATGCAAACCTACTGCAGGTTGATCATCTCATGCCTTAACACTTCCGTACCGTCTTATCACACTGGGAGATTTGCCAGCCTCCACTTCTCCCTTGCCCTCTCTCCCTTTGACACGTGTCCTAATTTTACATTGCTTTAAATTTGAACTTCCCCAAACTTTGGAGCTTTCATCTCTTTGGTCCTTCAAATTTTTCTGTCTCAAATTGGTCCCTAATCCTAAATCCAATCCATACCCTTTTGAATTTGTGTTTAATAAGGACATAAAGTGAATTTTATTACAAAAGTTGACAACATAACACCTGATTACTTTTAAAAGCATTACTGTAAGAAAAAAATACACCATTCATCTATTGGCATGTGAATACTTATATCTAGGAGTAGGTAATATTGTTCGAACTAGAAAAAATATTTTTCACCTTAGGTAATAATCAATTTGATCAAATGATATTTAAATATGTTACACATATCACAATCTAAGTGATCGTTTCGGTGTTACAGGGATGTGATGCCAAAGAGTTTTTTTTTTTGTTGAAATAGTCGGCCGCTAATCTTGGCAAATTATATAATTCACGTATTGTTGACCAAGTTTGCACGGCAAGATTTTTGAGGACCAAAGTGAAATCACCACTAAAGCTTAGGGAATCAAATTAATTTGTAACGAACTCTTGCTATAAAAGTTTCTTCTATTTTGTGGTCACAATGGGTGGAAGCAAATTTTGTAACTACTCTTATCCTAACTCATCCCTCTTTCTTTATACATGCTCTATTCTCATTTCAATGTGTTTTTTTTTTCTTGATAATTTTTTTGGCGTAACTATCATCGAAATAATGTCAAATAATGTTATTAATTTACTCATATCACCGTTATATGACTTATCAATCCACTCATATTATGCGTATAATATTTGTACATTGTTATAATAAGTAAGAGGCAGTCCTACGGTCACAATAATTAAAAATGATAATGAGAATAATATAGGGATGCTTCCAATATTGATTTTTACCATCTTGTTTGGGAGTATTTGTTTGTTCACTTTTGTTGCGATTTTTAACCTAATTGTATTTGTTGTTAAACCTCTGAAATGTTGTGAATCTTGCGATGAGTGAGAGGTAAATCAAATTAAGCGTCTCATTCATAACATGACACTGAGGATAGTCAACCTTTTTCTAGTTATGAAGCTTACTTATTATCTAAATGCTATTGTTGTGGTATCTAAAGGTTAAAACGTATTGTCAGATGAAAAGTTTAAACACATAATAATATAAGATTAACTTGAAATACTTTTACAATATTATACCAAGCTGTTATATCTTTCATGAGGTAAATTTTCTAGTGGGGTTCCTTGGCCTCTCTCTCTCAAACCCCTCGCTTTATCGCAATGACTGAAAACAAATATGTTTATAGGCACTTAAATATTCTTCTCTTCAAAACAACTTGACAAATTCTGAAAAGAAAGCAAGTGGTGAGTGGCAGTCGTACCTGGTGACCTGGCGCGGCTGTCGCCACCAATGACTCTCTCGGAATCATGCAATCATAGTTGTGGACAGGAGAGAGTTGCATGTAGCATCAGCACAAAATCGGCCACGATTAATATTTTTGCTCGATTTGAGGCCAACCAAGAATTCATCTACACAGACGCTGCCAGACAATAGGTTGCCTGCTTATCCTCATCGCACCCCAGATTCAATGAGCCTGCAAGACAAGTTTTCGATTTCTTGTGTAACAAGGGATCATAGGTCCATAGTAATGTTGCACGTGTTTATTTATACTATTTGATGTAAAACAATGTACTTTGTTTGTAGCTAATGTTTTACCATCCAGTTAACTTGAACAACTCTTTCTTTAGAAGCTTTTTTATTTGTTATTTTTTATGTTTTATTACAAGCGGTAATTTACACTAATTGACACTAAAATCGAAAAGGTCATCATTTACAAAAGTATAGAAGACAAATTCCACCTAAGGGTTCTATTATATGGTACCAAAGCAAGACATCATATCAGGTATGACAACGAGCTTAGCATGAGTTATGACTTCACGATTATGGATGGTATCAAGTCTGGGCAAATGGTCAGATGGTTTGAAAACTAATAATAACCAAAGAAAATGGTAGGCTATACAGACTTAGCTTAATCAAGCTAGTTAGAGCATTGTGCTCAATTTCTTTATACTCAAATTCGAATCTTCCTCCCTGTTGATTAGTTAAATTTATTGTAGAGTATCCTTTAAGTATTATTGTACTTCTCCGATATGGAACTCTTTTCACTTCTATCTTAGCTTCTATGGAGCCAACGTTCTACACCAACAATCTTCTCATTGGAGAGAGCAAGCCAAGATAACGCCGTCATTTACAACAACCCGCACATTTCAGAAATGGTATGGTTGCAGCATCGGTCCCCGCAACTCCACCTCCTTCTACGAGCTCTACGAGCTCTTGCTCCACCTAGCTCCTGGCAGACTAAGATTTCCACGAGCCTGGCTTTACTAGCCATGCTCCACCTTTTTCTGTAGGTTCACTAAGTGTAATGAGTTGCCATCGTGTATTAGAGTATTGACCATGTGCCTTCCATTTAAATCTTTGCGCCAAAGCCGAATTCAACTAGAGAAGGGTTTCAAGAGTAGTATTGTCACCTCATTTTTTATATATAATATAACGATATTTAAACACTTAATGGTGGAAGTTTGGATTAAACCATACAATAAGCTAGCTAAAATAATTTAATATGGAACTTGCCATTTGCATGAGTAAACTTATAAGATCTCTTACTTACCACTAGATTATAGTACTAATGGCATTCATGTCAACCTGATTGGATAAAAATAAGAGTTTTGTATACAATTTCATTTGTATAACGCTTGTGGCCATCGCTTGTCGTATTTCTTATAGAAATAAAATCTCTAGTAAAGTTGGAAACTTTTAGTACGTAATTGTCACACACAATCATGCAGTATTATTAAATTTACGTATCATAAATAAAATACGTATGTTATAATGTGTATAGATTAGTAATACGATGTGACAATATTATTGTCTATCAATAGAGAACTAACACGTTATGGTGATAGAGCCGTAACAGATGCGAGGAAGTTTCAGATCAGTGCCATAGACTAGGTCCCCACAGTAAAAACTTGTAAAAGCAAAGACGCGGGACGATTAATTGAGTGGAGGAAGAAGAGAAGCCGGTGACCAAATAATTGGGCGGCCACAATTCATTCGCATGCCACCACCACGCATTTTGTATAACACACTCCCTCAGACCCCCGCGCGCCACAAACTCTCGCTCTCTCTCTCTCTCTCTCTCTCTCTCTCTCTCTCACATACACATTCATTCATTCAGTCACATGAACTCCACTGCCTCCACCAACCCCCAATCGTCAATGGGCACGGCGTCGACGCCGTCCTCAGACGGGTCGGGAAAGAAGGTCCGGAAGCCATACACCATCACCAAGTCCAGAGAAAGCTGGACCGACGAAGAGCACGACAAGTTCCTCGAAGCTCTTCAACTGTCAGTTCTTCCTTTATTCGTTGTCTTTTTACTTTCAAGCATTCAATTCTGTTTTCTTTGTTTTTTTTCAACAAACGGTTGGATAATCTCCACTAAGTTCATCAAAACTTCGGGAAAAGGAGGGTTTGAACCCGGACGCAGTGGGTTGAAGAGGAACGTCTTATCCACCACGGCAGTCCACCGCCTGCCTATTTCTGTTTCAGTTTACTTGACTGCTTATTGGCTTTAATTGCTTTTTGTGTAGCTACTGTTGTGGTGTGTTGTAATTTCTTGTTTTGGGTTGTGGGTTTTATTTGAATCTTCCAAATTTCTGAACTTTAATATTCTTGCGCTCCAATTTAGTTCTCACTTTATTTTTTAGAATCGTGAACAGAGTAATGTAATGGGAGATTTTAATGTGTAAAACTGTAGATTTTGTCATTTGATGTCAGAGTTATTGAAGTTTCGGTGGGATTTTCAGGTTTGATAGAGACTGGAAGAAAATCGAAGATTTTGTAGGTTCAAAAACGGTTATTCAGGTTTGGACCAAGTGTTTTTCTGCTTTTTAGTTTGAAGTTAGTATGAATTGGGGGTTTTTGAGAATTGGGGTTTTGCAGATTAGGAGTCACGCCCAGAAGTACTTCTTGAAAGTTCAAAAGAGCGGGACAACGGCGCACGTGCCTCCTCCACGGCCAAAGCGCAAGGCTGCTCATCCTTACCCTCAAAAGGCCTCCAAAAATGGTTCTCCATTGTTAAAAGATAGTGGCATCGTGTCTTTCTAAAGCTTAAACCTTAATTGTTTTCACTTTTAATTGTTCAATATCGGAATTGGCAGGTTTACTTCCGTTGCAAGCATCCATTGCTTATCCTTCTTCAATGAACGCAATTGCATCTACCTATTCTCCTTGGGATGAAACTTCCTTTTTGACAAACCCTGCATCGGACCAAATTCTGTTGTCACGCGAAGAATTTACTAATCTTCATGGAACTGAAGGTATACATTCTATTTTTCTAGTTGCTTTGCTTGATATGCTTACGGCAGAATAGCTTTATCGAGAACTTTCCAGCACTTATTATGGGGTTCGGCGTTACTGATTCAGCTGATATTGGATCAAAGGGGTTATCAAGGATTAACACATGCAGTCTTAGTGGCCCTCTGCCAAGTTCCGAGATACCAAATCAAGGGAAACAAGCTCCTGGGCATCATGGTGATCATCAGACTGCAAATGCTGACTATATCTGTTCTCGGACTTTGAATTTCAAGAAAATTTATGGTGGAACATTTATGATTTATGTATATGTTCTACTATTTTGCAGGTCTTCCTGATTTTGCCGAAGTTTATAGCTTCATCGGGAGTGTTTTTGATCCAGAAACAAAAGGTCATGCTCAGAAACTCAGGGAAATGAATCCCATTAATTTTGAAACTGTGAGTTGAATGAAATTACATCGCTTTTAACAATTTGTTTCTTGACGGTTTCTAAGATTAACAAGTAACAGTGGGATGAGAATAGTTACTACGAATCAATGTGCCTGTAGTTAAATTTTGTTATTTCTGCAGGTTCTGTTGTTAATGAGGAATCTCAGCATCAACTTGTCCAGTCCGGACTTTGAGCAAATGGTAATTCTTCCTATTTTGTGCTATTACAATTGTAGTGTCGTGTGATGTAACTTTTCTTCGCAGTTAGGCATATGTTTCTATTGTTTCTCAGTTATCCTTGTCAATTCCAATCTCCTTCAAGATTTGGGTATAAAAAGCAATGTGGATATTGTTTTTCTTTCACAAAAATTACCCATTTAACTAGCTGTGTTTACATTACGACTAGAAAAAAAAATCCAGTTTTGCTCGTTTACGCATTTGCTAGCTTTTGGATTGCTGATGTTTTCTCTTTTTTATCGTGACAACAGAGTTTCGATCTCCCTGAACCGGATCTCTTTTCTCATGTTTAAATTTGTCATGAGAATCAAATAGTGCTGCTATCAGCAACGAGTGTAATGACCTTAACTATAAATTTATCTTAAGAGAAAAATGATGCTTAAAATAAGGAGATTGGTGAAAGATGACTCCGAAAAAGCTCAAATTAGAAGTTTCCATAAAACTTTACATGCATGACAAAAAAAATGAAGCTTTTCGTGAGCTGTTCCTCCTGAGAAAACACTTCGAAATCTAGAGAGTTCCATTAACTCTTAATGAGCCTATCAGCATCCTCTCTTTATTTATCAAATGTCCCAACTTCTCATTTGGTTTGCCTTATTCCTTAAGATTTTAGTCTTTCTAAAACTTGTGATTTTCTTTAATTTTGACTAATTAATCATGCGTATATTGGTTCAGAGGAAGGTCCTGTTATCATATGATGTCCTACGAAAACAGTAGCTGCAGGAATTGTCACCACGAAGCTGAATAGGGATCTGTCATGATGAACTTGTTAGTAGTTACACCCGCTGACTGGTGTGTGTTTTGGAGCAAAAGTGTAACTGGTTCTAGAACAGTAAATGCCAAATCCGATGTTAGGAATGTAGTTCTGCAGACACAATGCATACAGCGTTAGAGGATGCTGAAAGGAAGAAACATTTGAACTGGTTTTCAAGCTGTGCAAAAGGATCTAAATTGTCTGGTGGCCTCAATGGATGATTCATTCGTATCCCCGATTTTGTCCAGGCCTTCCAGACAAGTATGCATATCGTGTAACATGTGTTTAGTTGTAGTTTTCGCTTCTTTCTTTCTCCCCTTTCTTTACGTTTTCTGTTAAGGAAACAACATTAGGGTTGCATCTTGTGCCATCAAACAAATTTAACTACGACAACGGAAAGGCTCTTTTTTATGTTAAGGAAACAACATTAGGTTTACTTCCTGCACTTCAGTTGATTGTCAGTTTGGGGTTAACTGTATCAAAGTTACAAAGGAAAGGCTCTTTTTTATGTGACTGTTCAAGAGCGAATTAAGGAGTGAAGTCTGCATGCATACGTGAAAGTTTTTTTTTTTTTTTTTTCACATGAATAACGAAACATTGATAGTTTAGTAACAAAAAGAAAAGATGTTACAATCTACGTTGCATAGCTCAATAATCAATCAGCAATGAGGCCAATTGTATAATTGTAAAGAGTTTGTAACTGAGTTGGTTAATAGCAATTATCAGTCTGGCGTGTTGTCTTGAGTTAAATTCTTTCCTTTCTAATATCCTTGTATGGAAGAAATTGTACCTTCTCATTCTCTTCAAAATCCCTAAAGTATTAGAGCTACTATCATATAAGTCAAAAGTAATTTCAATATTAAGAATGTTTTTGGTTAATTTTTTCAATATTAAGAACTCATCAAGAAAATATCAGGGCTCATTTTTTTAAGGGAACTTTAACGAAAAGCTTCAAGTACTATTTACTTTAACGAAAAATCACATTTTTACACTAAAAAGTCAATCATGGTACTATTTGCTTTACTCTTTATTTTGTTCTTATTGTTAAAACTCAAAGTTTTCAAGCTCTTTTCATTAGTTTTTTTTTTTTTTTTTTTTTTTTTAAATTTCAAATTGTGTTTGTTTCTATTACGATGAACTTCAATATTAAGAATGTCTTTGGTCAAATTTTTCAATATTAAGAACTCATCAATAAAATATTAGGGCTAATTTCATTTTTTTAATTTCAAATTGTGTTTGTTTCTATCATAGTTTCACAAGGCCCACAAACATTGAGGCCCAACTACCCCAGCCTACCTGATATGACCCAATATATGCTTTAACTTCAAAGAAATATTTTTTTCTTGAACAAAATTGATAAAATACTCAACAATTTTTTAGCATTTCGCAAAATAAGATGAATACGGAATTGAATGTAAGAAAATAATTTATGGACCCAAAAAAATATGTAAGAAATTAGAACAAAAAAAAAGAAAAAAGAAAAAAAAGGAAAATGGGGCGTCCAAACCTGAAAAAACCCTACGGCCCAAACAATTTAGGTATAAAATCAACTTTAAACACATTTGTCACAACCCTAAACCCTCACACCGCATCTCTCCCTCTCCATCTCTCACACTCCCCCCACTCTTAGAAATGGCCGCCGCCGCTCGCCCCCTCGTCACTGTCCAAACCCTTGACGGCGACATGGCCACCGATCAGTCCCAGACCGTCGCCTTACCCGACGTCATGAAGGTGCCGATCCGCCCCGACGTCGTCACAGCCGTCCACTCCCAAATGTCGAACAACAGCCGCCAGCCCTATGCGGTTTCCAAGAAGGCCGGTCACCAGACCTCCGCCGAGTCCTGGGGAACTGGACGCGCCGTCTCGCGTATCCCTCGTGTTCCCGGAGGCGGGACCCACCGCGCCGGGCAGGGAGCCTTCGGAAACATGTGCCGTGGCGGGCGCATGTTCGCTCCCACCAAGATCTGGCGCCGCTGGCACCGGAGGATCAACGTGAACCAGAAGCGATACGCCATCGTTTCGGCGATTGCGGCTTCTGCCGTTCCCTCTCTGGTCATGGCCCGCGGTCACAAAATCGAGACCGTTCCGGAGCTTCCTCTTGTTGTCAGCGACTCGGCTGAGGGGGTGGAGAAGACCTCGGCGGCTCTGAAGCTTCTGAAGCAGATTGGGGCTTACGCCGACGCCGAGAAGGCGAAGGACAGCCACGCGATTCGCCCTGGAAAGGGTAAGATGAGGAACAGGAGGTACATTAACCGCAAGGGACCTCTCATTGTGTACGGAACTGAAGGGGCTAAGCTGGTGAAGGCCTTCAGGAACCTTCCCGGTGTCGAGATTATCAATGTGGAGAGGCTCAACCTGCTGAAGCTCGCTCCTGGTGGGCATTTGGGTCGGTTTGTGATCTGGACCAAGTCCGCTTTCGAGAAGCTCGACTCGATTTACGGGTCGTTTGACAAGCTCTCGGAGAAGAAGAAGGGATATGTGCTGCCGAGGTCGAAGATGGTCAATGCTGACTTGGCTAGGATCATAAACTCTGATGAGGTGCAGTCAGTCGTCAGGCCTATCAAGAAGGATGCCAAGAGGGCTCCTATGAAAAAGAACCCTCTCAAAAACCTGAACACTTTGCTAAAGTTGAATCCTTATGCTAAAACTGCAAGGAGAATGTCTCTTTTGGCTGAGGAGCAGCGCGTGAAGGCTAAGAAGGAGAAGCTTGACAAGAAAAGAAAGCCCATTTCTAAGGTAATCGATCCAGCTTGTTTCTATTTGAATTGCTTTTGATGATATGTTAGTTCCTTATAAAATATGATTGTTAAAAATAATTGTTCGTTTCGTTATGAAGGATAATTATGAAATATGATTGATTGATTCACTCAGTTTTGTGTTTTAGAGGATTTTACAGGATGATTTGATTGCAAAATGATGTGCCTGCATTAGTAATTTGTTGTTATCTGGTGTCGAATTATACTTGAAATGAAAGCTAATTCTAATTTAAATAGTAAATGTAATTGTGTTGTAAAGATGTTTAAGTGTGCTACTGTAAGTACGCTGCCTTCCGGAGATGAAGGGGTCTTGGACTCCCAGTGGTGACTTTATAGTAAATGATGCCAGTTTTTTAAAACTCTGGTTCTTAGGCGAAGTGATGCTGCCTGCATTCCCTATCAAAGCTATAGTGAAGCAGAAAATAAGCTTATATTTTGAAAGCAAGTTGTAGAAATACTTGGTAACTTAAATGATCAAATTGTTTTGGTAAACCAAGATTCTGAGCATTTCATTTGGGAAGTCGATATTCTTTACAATACTTTTAGCAGGCAAAAAAGTTGATCTTACATGTTTCCGATATGCGATATTTCTTGATTCAGATTATTTTGGACATAGGAGACGCCTATCCAATGTTTTGTGTATTTGTCGCTCTTATGTGAATCCTATTTCGTAAAAGCAATGTTTGTTCATGTGTGGTTTACGTATACCAAGATTTTGTTTGATCATGTATGCTAACGTAGAATATCTGTTTATTTTGACTAATACTTGTGGGAATCTTGTTTACTTGTATACGATTGTAGGCTTGTGTGCTAATTTACTTGTTTATTTTATCCAGGAGGAGGCTACCGCCATCAAGGCAGCTGGAAAGGCTTGGTACAAAACTATGATCTCTGACAGCGATTACACCGAGTTCGATAACTTCACAAAGTGGCTCGGGGTTGCCCAGTGATTTAGTTTATTGCTTTAAACTCCTATAAGACATTGTTTTTGTTAGTCTATTTTGCTGTGGTGTTTATCCGTGTCTTTTGTTTACTTTTAGTCATGGATGAGAAGTTTATGGGAAATGAGTTTATTGAACAAGCAAGTTTTGATGTGTTATTCCTCCATTTGATCTGGTTGGAGATTTTCTATAACGTGCACTGCATTGTAATATTTTTGTTACTTTTCCGCTATGCTTCGCTCTGATCATGTTGGGGTCATTTGGTTATGTTACTGCTTGTTATGATTTGATTGCTTTTGCCTTGTTGTGATTAGTTGGTTTTGTGACTCCTGGTTGTATAGCCAGTCCGACGAGCATATTTATGGTAGAATAACCGGTTTGCGGGTTGGAACCGTTAATATCCAATGCAATTAAAGTCGCAATGTATTTTTTTATATTTTTATTTTATAAAAGTTCATTGATATTTTTACATTAAGAGAAGGGAGGGTTTAGTTAAGTTACAATGGGTAGTTTAGTTTTGTGTTGAATTTGTCATCTATGAGAATCGAACTTAAGATCTTTCATTTCTAAATGAAGAGGAATGCTATTAGATCACAGTACTGAGTGGCAAGTCACAATGTATTATGATCAAAGCACATCCAATGTGCTCCCTAAATGAGCTTAATTTAGGAGGAATTTAGTGCTCGTTTGGATGTGCTTTTAAAATAACTGGAAGCATTTTTAGTGAAAATGTTTTTAGAATCAATCCTTGGTAAAAATGCAAGTAAATTCTAGAAAAGTACTTAAAATGCGTCCTAGAAGAAACACATAACTGGTGCTTCTTGCAGAAAGTATTATAAGTACTTTTAGAAACAAAAAACATTTTTTCAAAAAGCGTTTTCAATCATTTTAAAAGTACATCTAAATGAATCCTTGAAAATTTTCATCTCCGGTCATGCTTTTGCTCTTAGGGTAGCAAAATTTGCTACGAGTTCATAATCAAGGGAGTGAGAAAGGAAGGGCTCCTCGCATTAATTACTATTGTTTTAATCTGTTAAAGAAAATACTCTATTTCTATTGATTTATATTTATTTTGCCTCACTCATTTAGAAAGTATGGTTGGAGGTGAGATGTTTTAGGGAGCTTCTAGACTTTTTAGCTAAAATTTAACTAAAACAATAGAGGGTATGATTGAAGGTTCCTAACTCTCATAGTTGGCAGAAAAACTGAAAGTTAAAACACAATCATAAAAGGCGATTTTCAAAGCATATGTTAAAGTGAGGCGTTCTTCTTTATTTAGTTTGAAGTTAAAACTTAAAACACAATCATAAACGGCAGTTGCATCCGTATTTTCTTTTATTATTGTTCTTTTTGCGATTTTGTTTTTCAATCTTTTTCAACTTCGAGCATTCCGATCT